TTGAGAATATTTTTAAGCATAAGAGGCATGAGTAACAATTCTTCAGGTCCAGATTTTTCTCCTATAGAGGTCTGTTCATCCCTTATCAACCTTTGAGGATCAGGGTTTCATTTTTTTAAATATTTATTTTAATTCCAGTATAAACATAGAGTGTTATATCAGTTTCAAGTGTACAAGATACTGATTCAACAACTCTACACATTACTCTGTGCTCATCATAGAAACAAAGCAAAAGCGAACTATTGGGACTACACCAAAATAAAAAGCTTTTACACATTTACTAAAACCATCAGTAAAATAAAAAGAGAACCTACTGAATGGGAGGAGATATTTGCAAATGATATACCTGATAGGGGTTAATATTCAAAATATACAAAGGACAACTCAACACACACACACACACACACAAAAAAACCCAACAAATAATACGATTAAAAAATGGACACAGGACATAGACATTTTTCCAAAGAAGACATACAAATGGCCAACAGACACATAAAAAGATGCTCAGCATCACTAGTCATCAGGGAAATGCAAATCTAAACCACACACAATATTACTTCACACCTGTCAGAATGGCTAAAGTCAAAAACACAAGTGTTGGCAAGGATGTGGGATAAGAGAATCAGGATTTAATTTTATTAAAAATTTCCTTACAAAGCATTGCAATGGTATTTTGCAAATCTTTTTATGCCATTTTTCCAAATAAGAAAAGTCAATAGCATTATGTATCCATATTTGCCTCATGAGAGATATGGAGAAAAATAGCAGAGCTTCTTTCAATAGGACTAATCAATGAAATGAAGGAGAGACCATCTCAGAATGATCAGATAAATTCTGTAACAGAACAAAAGTGTTCATTTTCTGTATCTGGTGGGAGTTGACAAGGCCAGGCCTTGGAATCATGCTCATTTCCAGACAAAAAGTATGCTGAGTGACTGAAGTTCACAAGTACCTGGGTTTATGTGAGGTTTTATTGTGTTTGTTAATAGTTAAGTGTTAGAAAAATATCAAATTATACATTCTTATTTGGGTTTCTTTAAAATATCTAAATTAACTCTCATCCTTTATCTGGGTAAACCAAAACTCATTTATTGATATGTTTTATTAAGTTAATGATAGATGCCATTATTTTGGGAATTGTCATCTAGAATTTATAGAAAATGAAAGAGAATTAGAGAAAAGATTGCATTCTCTTTTTATCAGATATACAGACATATAGGGAATCCTTACTTTTAGACAATATGATCATAGTCCAGGGTTGACCATTTGTCTACTAATGGTAGCTTACAAATATTGTCTTATTGCCTAGGAAGAACCAAATTATCCTACACAACAATTATTTATTATTTACATTCTTTATGCCAGACATGGAACAAGCTTCTCAGTGTCTAAGAAAATTAAGACATGGACTCTCTTCAAATAGCCCACGGGAAAGAATGCACACACATTGATACATGTACAAGTGCAATGGGAAATGTGCAATAAATGATATTCCATTTTTATGGGTGCAAGGGAGTCATTGGAGGTTCTCAGATGGGATATCTGATTTAATTTTGATAGTTGAATACAAATATTCAGGTTAGGTCCAAGGGTAAAGGCCCTATTGCTAGACAGAACAAAAGGTATGAAAGCACAATGTCATAAGGAAGGACTGAACTTTAAGATAGGTGCTGGTTTTCAAAGGTAATAAGTTAGGAAATCCAGTCTCATAAAGGAGGCTTATTTACCAAAGACTAACTGGTTCTTATTGGTCATCTCTTTCACTAGCAAATAAACTTTAGCTATATAACCTTGATCTTTACAATAAAACTGGTCCCAAGTTGACTTTGGGTTAATTATCCACACATAACTTTCTCACTTCATTTAGGAAATTGACAATATGTCGTTATATAAATACTCTAGAGGAGAGGAGATCCAGGTTTGTATTTGAGGAGTCTTGATCCAATAAAGAAATCATCCAGACATTAGTGTCCTTTACCATTCTTTTTTATTTAGCTCCACTCCCTTCTTCCTTGTGACCAATTCATTATTTTATGAACTTCCTATAAACAGCCAATAGAAAGAAATAAGGAGAAAACACTAACCTCTACCTATCACTTGTTAGCTGTTGCTAGGGCATTTTTTTTTTTAAGTGGAACATAAAAATATTGCCTAAGATTAGGTTGGATTGTGTTTGTTGACTCCAGTCACCCACACTTTCCCCTGTCTATTTCTATGGGATAGAGAATTAGTAGGAGAATTAGCTGCAGTGTTGGTTTTCAATATATTCATTTCTAGAAAATAATTACCAAGGTCTACATGATTATGAATGATGGATTATGCTCAACTGAATATTTCTTAAATATTTTATTTGAGAGAGAGAGAGCACAAGCACAAGCAGGGTGGAGGGGAGAGGGAAAAGCAGACTCCCCGCTGAGCAGGGAGCCTGATGCAGGACGTGATCCCAGGACCCTGGGATCATGACCCGAGCCAAAGGCAGATGCTTAACTGACAACTACCCAGGCGCCCTCAACTGAATATTTTAAAACCACATCCAGCAGAATTAGAAACTGATAGACTGAGGTCTAAGGGAGGAAATTCCCAAATCTCATCAAATTACACCCATGACCTCTTCTCACTCAGGTTTAGATGAGGAGCTAAGATATAGACTAAAATATAAGTAAACACACACACACACACACACACACATATATATACTATGTATGTACTATATATTTACTATATAAGTTAATTGTTCAAGGTGACATAATAATTTGATGTGTGCATGTGTTGTTTTCTTTTTTGCTTTATTTGATGGCTTAGACTAAGCAGGTATATAAATTCTAACATTAATTCACTTGGTTCTAACATCAATTGATTTTTTTATGAGGTAGAAAATCAGTAGAACACTAATAGGGGATATCTACCTAGATACCTTCATTTTTCTTTCATTGGCAAATCATTTAAGTTCTTATTCCTTCTTATGAGAACAAATTAATTGGTGAATTAGTAATAAATTATTGGTAAGCATTTAGCATGGGATTCATTTGCAGATAATTAAGTATAATTACCTGGTTTCATTGGCCCTTTATCATCTAGAGACAATTTGATACAATTAAAATATAAAATTAGTTTATGAGTATTGACAGATTATCCAACTATAAAGTCACATGGATAAAAAATGTGTTTCAGTGACTCCAAACATTTAAAATTAGAAGAAAATTTTGTGGCATTTTTCTGCATATTTCAGTGCAATCCAACATTATCATTTTGATTAACAGCCAAGATTCAGTTTACAGGTTGTGTTCTTGCTACAATATCTGAAAAACTAAAAGGCATAAAAATAAATAAGACATCTCAATATAGAAATGATGATTTTGGTGACCTTAATTTAGAAACTTTTATTTCTCCTGTGGTTTAAGTATCTATGTGCCTCTTTAGATTTGGGGTCTGGAATTGTGGTGTTGTGACCATTCTTAATGGTATTTATTGAATAATTACTATGTAAAATACGTACCAAGATTTTTAGAGACTGACGTGGAAAGTAGAAAGCATGCTATCATGCCCTCAAAGAGTTTATAAAGAAAGGAAGGAGCCAGGGTAATAAAGAAAGGCAATATTATAAGGACAGGTGTAGTGTATAAGTATATGGGTATGTATATCTGTTCAGAAACAAATCCTATACAATAATTCCTGAGCATGAGTAGAGAGTTGCACAGGAAGGAAGAGAAAAATTTATCTTTATTAAAAGAAAGAAGGGTTGGGGCGCCTGGGTGGCCCAGATGGTTAAGCGGCTGCCTTAGGCTCAGGTCATGATCCCAGAGTCCTGGGATCGAGCCCCACGTTGGGCTCCCTGACAGCAGGGAACGTGCTTCTCCCTCTCCCTCTGCCTCTCCCCCTCCTCATGCTCTCTCTCTCTGTATCTCTGTGTCTCAAATGAATAAATAAAATCTTTTTAAAAATACTTAAAAAAAAAAAGAAAAAGGGTCAATGAAGCCTTGATTAGAGTTCTGAAGGCGGGGGGAAGGGTAGGATTTAGGACAGTTGAAAGATTATTCCAGTAGGGGGAGCTTGAAGGTTCACCATGGGTAGAGCGTCTGGATGAAATGTGGCACACAGGTTTACCTGGCTCAAGGGCATTATGTGAATTGAGGCTATAAGAGGACCCCTGGGCAAAGTGATATTTGCAGGAGGTCTTTGAAGTTCACATTTATACATTTGTTGAAAGGGCAGTATGACGTGCAGTGGCTCATCCCCTGTGGATCAGAGGGCCTCCCAAATAAGAGGAAAGTTCTGGTATATTGGCAATATTGATTTTATTAATTCTCTTTATATACCTGTTCCGGGGTTTTAAAAATGATTTTCTCATTAAAATGTTCTGTGTGGGGGCGCCTGGGTGGCTCAGTCGTTAAGCGTCTGCCTTCGGCTCAGGGAGTGATCCCAGGGTCCTGGGATCAAGTCCCGCATCGGGATCCCTGCTCAGCGGGAAGCTTGCTTCTCCCTCTCCCACTCCGCCTTCTTGTGTTCCCCCTCTCGCTGTGTCTCTCTCTGTCAAATAAATAAATAAAATCTTTAAAAAAAAATAAAAATAAAAATGTTCTGTGTGGTTATTTCTATTGTGCTAGACTATCTGAGGGCACAGGGACATTGTCTTCCTTTTTTCATTCATTTTAAACATTCAAAATGCATTTATCTCTTGCTATGTGGCAGGATATTTGAGAGCAGAGAATGTGTTTAATTGATGAAAATAGTTTCTATGTGCCTAATTCTACATGGAAGATAGAAATGTAGCCTTCACCATAACATAGGAAAAGAAAGAGCTATCAGGTGGGAAAAACAAAAAACAATTTATAGTGAATCACAAAATGGTTTTAGTTTCTAAATACTATGTTTAACACCTCAGTTGTCTCTTCCCTGTAGCTGTTACGCATGTGCCTACACCTACACAGATAATCATATATAATTTGCCAACTAACTCTGGGTCCATTCTAACTCTGCCTGCTCTTTGATTTTCACAGTCATGTGATCCCCACTCAATGCAGAGAAGAACCCGCCATCTGCTGAGACCCTCACTGAATTCAAGGACATGTGCTGAAGACTCACAGGTGCGGCCTTGCCTCCTCAATGAAAACTGCTTCCAGTTCCAGTACAATCTAACAGGTACAGTTGAAATCCACAGCCATGCCATTTCTCTGGAACACTAATGGGAGTGTGTGTGTGTGTGTGTCCATTCATTCTTGGGATTAAGGTCTGACAGTAGAATGTGAGAGTGTATTGTATGAAAGGCTGAGGATTTGACATTTCCAGAGTCCCTTCACAAAAGAAATGCTCACTCTTGGCATGTAGATTCAGCAAGGCCACCTGGAATCTCTGAATTCCAAGATGCTTAAAAAGACTTGGCAGAGTTTCAGAATAGAGCTGAATTAAGCCATAATAAACCAAAATAAGAAGAAAAAAAAGCAGCAGGGGATAATTTGCCATTTAGGGAGGAATGTAGTCATGCTGTCATAGAATTTAGCTCTTTCATGGCCTTTACTATTTCAAGAAATTCAAGCTTGTGATGTACTTTGCTGTATGGGTCTTAATGAGGATAAATGGTAGACCTGAGTGGACAGGGATATTTTAGAGGCACTGGGAATCCCACCCACCTCATTATTCAGCCACTGCTCAGGATTTTTCTGGGCACCACAGTGTCTAATACCACAGACTGTGTAGTTACATTGATTTGCTACCCGTAATTACCTGCAGGAGCAGATATACAAAATGCCACCAAATGTGGAACCATGTTAAGTCTCAGCATTGAATTCAGTACTGACAACCAAGCAATCAACATGCCTGCAGAGGCAAAGCAGTAGCCTCTTCTGAAACCAGTTCCCCACTGAGGTCACATAGGCATGACTGAGATTTCTCACATAGAAAACTTTATAGTGAATTCTAGGGGGACAATTTGATTGTCTTTATTGGTGAAAGATGACCTAGTGTATTTGCCCTTTTTCTTTAGTTAAAGGTGCTTCAGATCCTTGATTTTTATAGTAATTTTTCAGAAATGCAGTACAGTTTGTTATACTGGAAGATCATGTCTTTAAAATACTGATTTTATGGGGCGCCTGGGTGGCTCACTTGGTTAAACGACCAGCTCTTGATTTCGACTCAGGTCGTGATCTCGGGGTCATGAGATGGAGCCCTGCGTGGGGCTCTGGGCTCAGCAGGGAGACTGCTTCTCTCCCTCTACCTTTGCTCCTCCCCCATTTGCACACAAGCACTTGCGCCAGTGTGCATTCTCTCTCCCTCTCTCTCTCTAAAATAAAATAAAAAATAAAATAAAATACTGATTTTATTATATATCGGCTTACTATTCCTGTTAAACTCATAGATCACTTATCAAACATTGAAAATGTCTTTAAAGAGGTTCTCAATGTTTATCATCAAAGAGCATTCTTCCTAATTACACCAAAAGTAAGTTTTTTTTGGTTTTTTGGTTTTTTTTTTAAGAATCAGATTAATTGAGATGCCTGGGTGGCTCAGTTGATTAAGCGTCTGCTTCGGCACAGGTCCTGATCCCAGGGTCCTGGGATCAAGCCCTGCATTGGGCTCCTTGCTCAGCAGGGAGCCTGCTTCTCCCTCTGCCTGCTGCTCACCCTTCATGTGTGCTCTCTCTCTTTCTCTGACAAATAAATAAATCTTTAAAAAAAAAAATCAGTTTAATTATGGGATAATTCGTTCAAACTCCCAGTTATCTAGTTTGTAATGCAGCTATCTAAATCTATAAAACCTTCCCTCATGAGAGAATAATTTGAAAAAAAAAATAGATTTTCTGTAATAATCATACAGTTCTGAGGTACCTCTCTTTCCTTTCTGAGGCACCTGTCTTAGCTCCACTGTACTGAATGTATGAAATGGTTTAGATAATTGGATTTATTCCTTGAAAATATTTTCAAGTTACATCAAAGAGTAGCATTGTTTCTGGGTCCCTTTTGTCTCCTTATCCCCCACAAACAGGATTCCAAACTAGTTTTCCTTTACCATCCTGGTGAGTGTCTTTCCCTTCCTCTTCAGTCAACAGTGACATGGTCTCTAACAAACCGTTTGGATTTTTACTTTTAGAAAGCAAACGTAGGGAGGTGACACACTTTTATTTGGTTGCTTATTTGTTTTGCAATAAAAGAATTGCAGGGTGCTTTTTGAAGCCACCTGGAAATGACTCTAGGGTTATGTATATATACTGTCCCTCCTCACCAGTGCAAATCATCAAAGGTCTGTTGTATTTTGCTCACACGACCATAATTCTGAAACTCGGTGTGGTGATCCTGTACCTGTAGATTGGAGCATGTGCCAGCTAAGTGAAAATGTCACCTGCGGACGAGGCGTCAAGACCCGCCTTCTGAGCTGTGTGCGCAGTGACGGCAAGCTGGTTGGTGTGGACCAGTGTGAGCAGGTAATTTGTCTATATTTGTATCTCACACTCGAGGCTTTGTGTTTCTTAATATTAGTAATATTAATTACTAATATTAGTAATTAGTAAATTAGTAATATTTGTAATTTTAATATTAGGCTACAACCTTGATGCTTGATATAAAGGTCAAACTGATTCCTTCTTGAAGCTTCTTGAAGCTTATTAGCTTTAGTTAGAGTAAGAGGTAACTGGTACGGGACAGTTATACCTCATTCCTTTGAACTTAGTCAAAATGACTGGGAAAGGTCATTTTGCACTGAGGAAATGGATTCATTAAAAAATTATTTGTATTACTTTCAAGAACTTATGTAGATGTACTTGCTTGCTACAAACTATTCACATCAGGCGACTTTAATATCTGGATAGGACTCTGTATTAGGCCGGTAATTCATTTGCATATATGAACACTGTGCCTTGCATATAGGATGAACACTGACACTTGCTATTAGAATATGCTGCTCATTTGCTTAGCAAATGATTGCTAGATAAATAGCACAGTTGTCTTTTTCTTCTAAACCTAAGTTAAAATGCCTCCCTGCCAAGTTCCAATTAGTGAGTTCTGAATTTTTGTAACGTTGTTGTTCCTTTCTTTCCTGTGATAAACTATGTAGAGCTTGGACAAAAGCTGTAGTCAAACCTGTTCCAAAGAAGTTGCATTTCCTTTCCAACATCTGAGTGAAAATCTCTGTGGGGACAGTTTAATAGAAATAAGGATGACCACATGCTGTCGCACTGGAAGAATCACCAACACAGTCTTTGGAATAAATTGAAAATACAGGGTCAGTTAACTCAGGCTTCCATAGAAGCTTCCTAAACAAATTGGCAAAATGAAAATTGGTCCCATTTCTCCTGACATCGATGGAGTCCACAAGTGGAATTAAAATCAAAACCAAATTTTTCTCACCTATCCTGATTTAAGTATTCTCCTGTTAAGAATTATAAAAATAATTCTAAACCAACAGGACAGCCAGAGACAATAACCCTGAGAAAAAGCCATCTGAAATTGGACATCCCCTTTGGTGAAATTCTAACACTGGCTAAGACAGGGCAGAGTTCTGTCCACCAAGTGTCAGTGCTTTATCTTAACATTTCATTTAATCTGTCTCTCCAAAAGTTGTCTGCTTTAGGAAAAATAAATCCCCAATCTACAGCAACTCCAAATAAACTAAAAATCGTACATTTGGTGTATGTAATAAATCTTTTCTTTTGATACAAAGTAAGATGGAAACTATTCAGTAATAGAAAAATCAGTTTCTCTGCTTTTCAAATACCGTATGTTCAACAAATATTTAAAGAATATTAGTTTAAGGAAGTCCCAAATTATTAACCTATCTAGAGTATCCGTATTTCTCAAATGGATTGAAGATCCTATGTGGTAATTTCTCTATTGCCTATGCAGCATATAATCATGCTATAATCATTCATTTTAGGTTGGTGTGGACATTGCTAACATTTAACATGTGTTGAATGTCAGAGTTTTCCTAAATGAGCAAATAGTCTGATTTCTGTAGCAAGATTTTTCATTATTCTTTCTGTGTTTCTTAGATGATTTCTTTCACAAAGAACTCTTCTAGTTTGGCCATTAGAAAAATCTATAGATTTTTGCCTCCATGCTGGTTTAAGAGAGGACAAGAGGAAAATAAACCGTATCACCAATTTTTCTCATGATTTAGAGTATGGTTATGTTTTCAACCTAATAGGTGTTTTTTAATAAGCATAGTTGGGTTGTTGATTCTGTTTTTATTCTTATTTTTTTAGCCTGGCTAGCTGTTAATTTTGAACTCTCTTTGTACTATTGGCCCATCCAGAAGTGCTAGGTACCTGTATTTAACACTAAGCGAGGACAGATTTCTGTTTCACATAACTGTCTGCTTTCCCAGTACCCTAACTGCAGGTCTATTCTACAGTTGAGGACTTTAAAAAAAAGAAATTTGGGCCAACAACTTTCTATTCTGTGAAGTTAGGCCAACCATTTTCTAGGACTGCCACCAATTTGTATAAGAAAAGATATTTTTCCATACAAAGATGTAGAAATATTATCATCATAGAATAAAGTCTTTCCCATGAAAAGATAGTGATTTGATTTGACAGTGATAGGATTTCTGCAATAAAATCATATTTTATTTTCATCTGCAGCGTAACTTGGAGAAGCCCCAGAGAATGAGCATTCACTGCCTGGTGGAATGTGTGGTCAACTGTCAGCTCTCAGGGTGGACAGCTTGGACAGAATGTTCAAAGACTTGTGGCCATGGAGGTATTTGGGTTCCCTATGTTTGTCCCCACTAAACAGTTTGGTTTTTATTTTTTTTATTAATTTTTTTTAAATTTTAATTTTTTAAAGTAGGCACCATGCCCAGTGCAGAGCCCAGTGTGCATCTTGAACCTCACAACCCTGAGATCAAGACCCGAGCTGAGATCAAGAGTCGGTTGGTTCACTGACTGAGCCACCTAGGTGCCCCAACAGTTTGGTTTTTATTTTTGTTTTTGTTTTTTTTTAAATATCATAGGATGCTAAGAACATAGGATTTCTTTCCTTTTTTTTTTTAAGATTTTATTTATTTATTTGAGAGAGAGAGAATGAGAGAGATCACATGAGAGTGGGGAGGGTCAGAGGGAGAAGCAGACTCCCCGCCGAGCAGGGAGCCCGATGTGGGACTCAATCCAGGGACTCTAGGGTCATGACTTGAGCCGAAGGCAGTCGCTTAACCAACTGAGCCACCCAGGTGCCCAAGTTTGGTTTTTAAATACCTTTCTGTATGCCATAACTTGACAAATGGGCATAAGGCATGTTGGCCAGTTGGTGGAGGCAATGTGAGGCCGACCCAGAGGGGAAGGGAGATAGAACTTGCCTTGTATCAGTCCTTTCTGTCGAGGTAGAGGTTGCAAACCTGACCTGTCCGCAGTGGCAGACACCAAAAGAACTGCTAGCCCAGTGAGACAGTATTTTTTCAAAAGGTCATAAACTCAGGGTACCTGGGTGGCTCAGTCAGTTAAGCGTCCAAATCTTGAGTTCGGCTCAGGTCATGATCTCAATGCTCTGTGCTGGAGGTGTGGAGCCTGCTTAAGATTCTCTCTTTCCCTCTCCCTCCAGCCAACCCCCCTTCTTAAAAAAAAAAAAAAAAAATCATAAGCTCAACAAAATATTGGCCTCCATGGTTTTTGGAAGAAGTATGTATTGTATAAGTAATCTTGTGTCAGACAAACCCCCAAATCACAATGGCTTAATATCCCAGACTAGAGACTAATTTTTCACTCACATAAAAGGAGGGGTTGTTTGCACTTTAAAAAGTCAATCAAGAACACAGGTTGATGGAGGATCTACCACTTTAACAGAACCAATTTTCTCTGGAGGGTGCCTTCCCGTTGGCTCTATGCAGGTAACATACATCCTTCCCATCTGTATTATACAAAATTTCATCCCATGTTCCCAGCTCAATGCAAGATGGTCAGGCAGCAAATGTAATTTCTAGATGGCCAGTCACTTCTCAGCAATAGTGTTCACTATGGAGGAAAAGGAGTATAAATCTGTGGTGAACAGATAGCAACCATTACCACAAGTTCCCAGGATTTCAGTGGGCAGATGATATACAGTGGCAAGGAATGAAAGGCAAGTGATACTCAGAAGCTAGGCAAAGGGATATATAGATAGCACTTCAGCATCAGACTAAAGTGGGGACCAAGACATTGTCCATGGAAAAGAACACAAGAAAATAATTGGAAAGCACAGACCTGTGGTCTAGGATAGGACTGCGTTTCTGATAAAGAGTTCTACTCTATCACAAGGTAGATGTCAGATATTTGGATTAGGGCCCTAGGGAAAAATCTTGTTGTATGGTTAGGCACTAAGCAGAAGAGAAGGGAAGAATTGCAAGTTGCAGGAGTCATGGAATCAAAATGGGAGGAGGATACACCAAGACCTGGATCTGATTGCCAAACAAAAATATTTGGGACAGGTTTCTAGAAGTGACTGGACCACGGGCACTAGGACATAGGTTCATTTCTAAGCTACTCCCAAATGAGTGTGCTGGAGTTGCAGATAATTCTCTGCCTCAGTTGGCATTATCTAAGGAACTGAGGTAGGATGCATCATGGAAAAGGGGCTCATGTGTGAACTCAGCTATCAGATTTTGGTAACAGAGCTGAGAACAGTAATCAGGATCTGTATTAGGAAAATGTGGCTAAGGAAATTGAAAACTACTTCTGCAAAGAGCATCACTCACAATGAAAATATGGGAGTCACAATGTCCAATAATGACATGCCATTTCCTGCACAGTTGAGAGCCTGTGCTCTCAAAGAACCTCAGGAAACCAAATGAAAAGTTTTCCATGATCGACTGACTGTTCCTCAAATATTCTGATCGGCAGCATGGTATAGTTTCCAGTTGAGCATCCACTTTAAAGTTGGGTAAATCTAGGTTCAAATTGCAGCTGTTTAGGCAAATTACTTAATCTGATTCTCAGCTGCTTTATCTATAAAATAGAATGCAGGCACACTGGAGGTGTTTTGGTTTGAGAATTAAATAATATGAAGTATATGAACACCTAGTGCAGTAACTGACACATCCTGGGTGTTTATTGTATGTTAATTTTCATCTCCATCTTCTTAGCTCCCAATAGTAGAGAGGGTCATTGGAGACTCCCTAGGATCTTTCAAGGATAATTCTATAGACTTAGGCACTCTGTCTCCCAATCTCATTTCTCATCCTTTTACCCCACTTAAAATCCATACATCATAATCACAGCCTAAGGGTATTTTTAAAATGCAAATTTGAACACTTGTCTTCTTACTTAAGAGCCATTTATCCATTAAACAACTACCCATGTGTCAGTTCTAGTTCAATGTGTTGGGGGGCAGCAGTGGGTGGGAGACACTTGCCCTCTTCTCGTGGAGTTGCTGTGTAGTTGAGGGACAATAGACAATAAACAAGCAAAGAGGTAATATTGTATGTTGGTGAGTTCACTACAGACTCATACAAATGAAAAGTGTTTTTCACATTAGCGATGTCTTTTTTCAGAACAGCTGGTTGCTCCTCTCCAGCAGTGACTCACCCTGGTTATTCCACAGCTACAAACACTGCAGTCTTGTCCTCATGGGTTTCTGGGAGGTGTCTCTTTTACAGTGGTAAAGGGTAGCATGGAAAAGTAGAGAAAGGATGAAGTCCCGAACTGTAAGCATGGTCCACAGGACCTGTGGGATCTCACCCATGCCTGCCTCTCTATGCCCATCACCCTCCACTGATCCCTTGGCTCTCTTTGCTCTAATACAGTGTATTTCAGTCACATCCTTCAGTGTGTGCTGTTTCCTTATGTGGAGCATCTTACCATCACCCCACTACTGCCTCCTACTATTCTTCTTATGCAAGAATTGAATCAGTTGTAATGTCTATATGTCTAAGGGGCCAAAGACCCTGTTTGGGTTCTTCATGGGTAAATCCCCCCAGTTCCCATGAGCACAGTACCTGACACATTGGAGGAATTTCAGTTAGTATCTGTCATTGCCCATGTTGTTCTGCATCATAGGGGAAGAGCCTGCATACTGGATCACAAGCCCAAAGGCAGCCAAACCCTGCCAGTGGATGTTTTCCTCACCCTCTAACTAAATGCATATGTCTTAGGTCCCCTTACCCAAGAATGTGTTCAATGCAAAGGAGACAGATCTGTTTATTATTATTTTTGCCTGGGAGCCCTAATTCTGCCACTGTACCAAGTCAGTGAAACATGACAGATCTCCATGTTATGCTAATACACTACCTTTAAAAATAAGACCCTTAATTTTAAGTTTAGTATTCAAGTATTTAAGTTTTCAAGCAGTTCTGTTAATGCTGTAGACTAAGCAGCCCTTGTGTGTTTATTAGAAAGACAAAAACAAAAGAAAAAGCTTTCCAAATCTGAATCCCACTATTGGAGAATTCTAGGTAATTAGAGTGTGAACTTAAATTCACCTTTTCTAAGCCTTAGAATAATAAACAAAGAGAAACAATCAAAGATTTCCTAAGGAAGTCATTGTGTGAACTCAGGTACCAGTGGTACTGGGGAAGGAATGTTAACTACTTGGAGAAATCAAGTTCCATAAAGGACTTGAAAGTCATCTAAATAGTATTCATGGGCATTCAATATAGCACTAGTTATAAATCATCTCTAGCTAGTTTCTAAGGGTCTATTAGGATATCTTCTTGGGACTCTTCTTGATCTTTAGATGTCTTGATCTCCTGAATTGTCATATGTAATTATACCTTTAAAAATATATTCCACAATCCTGATATCTTTCAGACCCTCCAGTGATCTAAATGTGTGCGTATTCCGTGTTCCTTTATTCATTCAACAAAGATTTATAAAGTTTATTAACTATTATCCTGGCACCTAACAGTGTCTTCTTTCATTATCAAAAGTGGCAATGTGAAAAATAAATTATATGGTGACCATGCTATTTAGACATCTGTTCTTGAAGGCAGGACTGTAGAAGTATATTCATATATTTTACAAATATTCATTGGATGCTTTCTGAGTGTCAGGCATTCTCCTAACAGCTGAGGCCACGCCATAGGACACAGAAAGGCTCCCAGGCAAACAGAGCCCCCCCGACATCATACAATGAATGTTCTGGTGGAAAACTGGATGGTGATGACAAGACAGATAGCAAATAAATGAGGATATAAACACAAAAATAACTGATGTCCATGATGAAACCAAAACAGATCATGTGATGGAGAATAAGGAGAACAAGTATTTTGCAAGGGAGTGAGGGATGGGGGAAGAAAGGCCCCTGATGAGGTGATATTTAGGTCAACATTGAATGACAAGGTGCCACCGCTCCTATAACTGGTGTTTTCTTTAGAAGGCTGCTCTTACTCAACCTCACAGGCATTTTTTGACTACCTGTTATATTGAAGCCTCTGTCAGGTCCTACAGACAAAAACCTAAAAATAAGTATTTTTCTAATTACATTTGTCCCCAGTTTCAATTTTAACAAATACACTGAACAGTACAAAGAAGAACAGGACACATGGCCTTAGAATTTCTAAGCACCCACCCTCAGGATATTGCAGAGAGAGCCTTTGTGGTTACATTACATTATACCCCACAGCCCCCAAACTCCTCCAGTTCCAGCCCCAGTCTTAGAGCACCACTCTTCCCTGATCATCAACCACCCCCACACAGGCAGATAGTAATGTTTCCAAAATGAGAGAATTATATATTTAGATCATGCCTTAATCCTCATGCAGCACAACCTAAAAGCAATAAGCAAACAGCGAT